ATCAAACTGGGTTTGGCTCCTGGCTCTGCCCCTCACTGACTGCGTGACCTTGGGCTAGATGACCTCTGTGTTCTCCTGAAACACCACAGTGTTCACTAAAACAAGTGGCGTATTAAGTGCTTACTGTACACAGACTGTGGCAGGTGCCTTCTGTGTGCTAAGAAGTGAGGTGGTGATACAGTGAAGGTTCAGGTGTTAAGACTCAAATACTGGGTTACTCCTCCGCCTCAGCTGGGTACTCTTGGGTAAGTTACCTAACCTGCCTGTGCCTGAGTTTCCTCCTTATAAGATGGAGTAAATGTCAATGTCTACCTCCCTGGATTGCTAGGAGGATTACGTGATGTTAAGGAGCACATACTGTGTGTACCTTACGTAATTATCCCAACATGCGTCAGATGTTAGGGACATTTCATCTGCTGAAGGAAACTGAGTCTCAGAGAGGTGAAGCGGCTGCCCAAGGGTGCACAGCCAGCAAGGTGCAGACCTGGGATTCAAACCCTGCACTTTGGCTGCAGAAAGCAGAGGCTCCCTCAAGGCTGTGGGAGGTAAAGGACTCACATGGTGTAGACACCAGCTGTATCCAAGAGTGGACCTCCTGCCCAGCCCAGGCCAGGTACAACTCCTCCCACCTTATCCCAGCTGGGGACCAGCTGTGAATTTTCTATAGCTTAGGTCCCACATCACTGCACCTAGCAGAGCCCTCAGTAGCTTCAGAGAGAATCAAATGTGTTTAGCATCAGGTCAGAGAGGTGTCTCATTTTTATCAGTGTTAATCTAATATGTTGTCTTTCCTCACTGAACTCTGAATAAGTTAATCAAGGACAGACTGGATTTGTGTTTTCTTAATAACGCTGCCTGATTCCGAAGGCTGCCTGCTGAGAGCCCAGGCTCACGCCACTTTCCTATTTTATCTTCTTGCTTTTTTTCATTTTATAAGATATATAAGATTGTTATGAGTACATGTGTGCATGTTGGGGGGCAGTGATTAGCATGATACCAAAGAAGGTCACAAATGCTGGAATTAAACAAACCCTGTTTTAGACCATAGTTCCTCTGCTAGCTGCCTGTACAACACAGGATAAATGATTTCTGTCTCAGTTTTACCATCAGTGAAATGGGACAGTAGTCTCCAACTCATTGAGTTATGATATTTAAATACAACAATGAAACGCAACATGGTCTAGCTCATAATGATCATTCAACAAAGATTGGCTATTAGTAATGACAACTGCCTACTGACCCATGGTCATGAGCTAGAAGATGTGATGAGCATTTTACATACATAATTCCATCCAGGTATCATGAAAAGCAGACAGAAGAGTGGCTGGCAGCTGCACAAGAATGGTGTAATTAGCAGCAGTGGCAGAAGCACAGTCATCTATATCCCTGGGGATTGGTTCTAGGACCCCTGGCAGATACCAGAATCTGTGGATGCTCAAGTCCCTGCTATCAAATGACACAGGATCTGCGCTTAACCTACACACAATCTTGGACACCTTAAATCAGGTTTCTAATAACACCTAACATAGTATAAATAGTGGTTACCCAATCTTATTTGGGGAATGATGGCATGAAAATAAGTCTGTACATGTTCAGTACAGACATCTTTTTCAGAACATTTTAGGTCAATGTTTGGTTGAATCTGAGGAGGAGGAACACGGGGATGCAGGGGGCTAAGTGTACTTACTCCTCACAGTACAGGATGGGATGTGATCCTGTACTGTGTATCCTGTACTGTGTATCCTGTACTGTGTATCCATGGTGCACAAGGAATCCAACCAAAGTACAGTGACCTTCCTGGGAAGACCACATTTCCAAGTGTCACTGCATGGACCTCCTTTTTCCAGGGATCAACCAAGAATATGAAGGGATTTTACCCCAGAATAGGCGATTACCATCCAAACAAAAGTCATGGCAGAAGCTTTGAGGAGGAGCATGTGATCAAGATTGGAAGAGGGTCAGGGGCTATTTCCTGGAGATTCACAAAGCTGAGACTTGGAGGAAGAGTGGTGCTAACCCTGTGGAGGTTCTCCAGGCAGAGGGAGTCATTTGTTCATTTATCATTCAAACACTTATCCATTCAACAAGTAGGTATTGAGAGCCATCCTGGCACTGTCCTAGGCGCTGTCCTAGGTGCTGACAAAACAGATCTGAGCAGAATAGGTAACAACTGCCCTTCAGGAGCTGACAGCCTGGGGGTGGGGGCAGACCACAAACAAAGAAGCAGGAGTAGGATGCTGTAACTACAAGCATAAACAAGACGCCTTTGGATGGTTATGAGTGCTGTGATGTGAGCAACCCTGCGGAATGTGGTTGTGACTGGGCAGTGGAGCCACTTGAGTTAGGACTTTTGGGGAAGGCGTCTATGAGAAAATGAAGTTCGACTGGAGACTCAAAGAGACAAAGGAAGCTATGCAGAGATGTAGAGGAGGAACATCCCAGATGGAAGGGGCTGAATAAAGAGATCTGTAGGAATGGGCTTGGTGTGTTCAGTGAACAGCAAGAAGGCCATTGTGTGGAGTGTGGAAAGGAAGTGGCGATATTACAAGTTGAGGCTAGACAGGTGAGCCAGGGGAGGGAGTCTGGAGCCTGTCCCTATGCACAACATGGAGCATACTCCAAGGTGTAGACCTGTGAGACGTTTGGGGCTTTCCAAGAACCATCTGGAGTTTGGGGTGGCTGGGTGAGCTGGAGCCTGATGCATGGAGAGACAGGAGGGAGAGGCTACATCACAGTGTCTCTGTCCAGCACCTCGCAGCTCACCTGTGCATGCGTGATGGGCTCTCCTCCCCCGGTGGATGCCGCAAGAACTTCCTAAACACCTCAAAGAATCTGCTCTGTGCCAAGAATCATGCTAGATGCGTTCATGACTGTTGTCTCATTGAACTCTCAGAAGCAGTCCAGAGGGAGGGGTTTGCTATCCCCCATTTTACAGTTTTCTAAACAGAGGTGTGACCAGGTGAAGCCATCTGCCTGGGCCACATGACTGGTGGAGGTGGGGCTGGAACGTGACTCCAAGTCCCCCAATCCATTCTGTCATCTGTCACCTTCTCTTTCACCTCCCTGTGGACACTGGGTTCTTGAGGAAGTTCCTGAATGTGGGAGGGTAGAGCCTTCTGGAAGGTTCTAAGCCAGATTCAAGGAGGACCTGGTACAGGGAACTGTGTTTCCCAGGACAGGGGCCCCACCGAGAACCCTGCATCCCTCCACAGTAGGAGAAGGGACTTTGAAGTGAGTTGAGTCACAGAATTACAAGGGCACTACATGGAAAATGCATATTAGGATAAATATCTATGCATTTCAAACTTTTTGCACCAAAATGAACTCATCTTTCAATTCCATTTTCCTGAACTCTTTGAAGACCCCTCGTATGTGTGACAAGTGTCAAGGCACACAAAGGCTGCTGGGGCTTCCCCTCTGCCCTGTTGGAGGCTGATTCTCCCTAACCCTGTGGCCCAGACTCGTGAGCTGTCCACTCCTGTTCACCTCATGGAGTGCAGGCTTGCAGGGCCCTCCCCCGCATGCTGGTTGGGTGGGTGGATGCCAGCAGATTCTGGGAGACACAGAGAGCCAAGCATTCGGGTCAGACGGGTCTGATTTAAATTCTGGTGCTGCCACTGAGCAGCTGCTTGGCCTTGGAGCTAGTGTCTTCACTTCCTCAAGCCTCAGTTTCCACATCTGCTAACTGGGCCTAGGATCACAGGGCCCATTTTTAAAGCCCATGAAGTGCTTTAAAAATCAAATAAGATAATGCACTCACAAAGAAGAGCCTCTTGTGTCTGTCAAAGGCTGAGAAACTAAGGGGCAGTGACAGCCCCTGAGAACCCACCCAGGGATCCAGCATGGTGGACCAAGAGGTCAAGAGGTCGTTTGGTGGGGTCAAAGCTCTGCCACTTAGTAGCTACGTAATCTTGGGCTCTTAAAGCTCAATTTTATCTTTTTTTCTTTTTGACAGGCAGAGTGGACAGTGAGAGAGAGAGAGACAGAGAGAAAGGTCTTCCTTTTGCCGTTGGTGCACCCTCCAATGGCCGCCGCGGCTGGCACGCTGCGGCCGGCGCACCGCGCTGATCCGAAGCCAGGAGCCAGGTACTTCTCCTGGTCTCCCATGGGGTGCAGGGCCCAAGCACTTGGGCCATCCTCCACTGCCTTCCCAGGCCACAGCAGAGAGCTGGCCTGGAAGAGGGGCAACCGGGACAAAATCCGGCGCCCCAACTGGGACTAGAACCTGGTGTGCCGGCGCCGCAAGGTGGAGGATTAGCCTAGTGAGCCGCGGCGCCGGCCTCAATTTTATCGTTAAAGTGGAAGTAATAGGGGCATTTGGTGCAGTGGTCAAAATGCTTGGGAGGCCCACCTCCCATGTCAAAGCGCCAGGGTTCAAGTCCTTGCTCTGCTTCCAAGTCCAGCTGCCTGCGAATGTACACCCTGGGGACAGCAGAGGGCTCAGCTATGCAGGTCCTCCCCACCCACAGGGGCAACCTGGATTGAGTTCCAGGCTCCTGGCTTCAGCCTGGTCCAGCCCTGGCTATTGCAAACACTTGGGGAATGAATTCTGTCCCCCCACCCCTTTCCAATAAAATGAAAATAAATAAATAATATAGACATGACTTATTAAATGGTACTGACAATGCTGACCCCATAGAGCTGTGGTAGCATTTCAATACATGTAAGGCTTAGAGCAATACAAGGTACATGGCGAGTGCTCAATAAATTGTTGGTTTTTCATTTTATCTGTATTGAACAATAACTTCAAAGATCTGCTTTGGACTCAGACAGACCTGAGGTTCAAGTTCAGACTTGCCTGTTGACAAGCTGTGCGGCCCTGGGCAGGCTGCTTAGCCTCTCTGAAGGTCAGCCTGCTCTTCTGTGGGATGAGGATAATCACGAGACCTACCAGGGCTCTAACTGCGTGATAGCTGGTCCCTATCAAATGCTCTGAACTGACTGCTATCATTACGTTCCTACCCTCCCCCTCCCTCTTCTTCAGCCCCCTCCCCTCTTACCTCGCTCCTCCTCCTTCTCCCGGATGACCCTCCCCTTGAGGGCTCGGCTCCAGGCGCCGCCGTAGTCACCCAGCTTGGCTCTCTCACTGCCGTCCTTGCCCTTGAACCAGGGCCCGTACCTGCGGGCGATGCTCGAGGCTTCGCCTGTGTCCCGGAAGCCTCTGCCCAGATGCAGGTCACCCAAGAAGGGCAGCTCAGGGCCCTCGGCGGGGCCTCCCACGGCAGGGCTGGCTTGGTTCTGGGAGACAGCAGGCTGGCCCACGAAGCCGGAGTGAAGGAAGACGAGGCTCCCAGCCGTCAGGTAGAGCGCCAGGAAGGTGAAGAAGCGCACGGGTTTCCGGCGGAAATACCGCTGGAATTTGAACCAGAGCTTGGCCATAGTGGGATCATTCCGGACTGGCTCGCTGGGGCTTGACCGGGGGGCTCAGAGGAAGGGGAGCAGAGGGCTTCTCTTAGGGATGGAACCCCTGGGGGTCCGCTGTTTTATTCCTTCTGCAAACGCGATTGGTAAGACTGGAGAGGGAGGACACGTCCACGGCAAAGCTGAGGCCAAGAGCAAGGAGGACTGAGCTCACCAAAGTCAGGGTGAGCCTCTGCAGGTCAAGAATGGGGTTCCGAGGCTCAGGGCCCCCAGGAGACGGTCCCATTTTCCTACATGTTCTTCAGTTCGGAGAGTTGCAAAAAGAACCTTAACAAACAGCAAGTGCAGGAGGACCCGGTGGGTCTGCAGCGGCTGCAGTTTGTGTCTTGCCCTCCCTCAGCTCCTCAGCCTGTGGAAGCTGGATTACTTCACAGAGGGGCCTGATCTTGGCCTCTTCCCTGCCTGGGGACCGAGCTCAGTGTGTCCACCTGCTGGGAGCAGAAGCTGGCGGGTCTCCATCCGGTCAGGTGTCCAGGTGCAGGGCTTCCACCTGCAAAACAGCACAGATACAGGTGTGAGAGGGTCCCTCACGGAAGTGCAGCACACAAAGCATCCTCAAACGGGGACACGGAGTCCCTGGGATGGGAGGAAGCCGTGATGGTTGGGAGTCCTGCAGGAGCTGGGCTGGCTGGAAGCCCAGGCCTGGGTCTTTCAGAACACTGCCCTTTTCTCTAAACTGGCAACTGGGGGGCTTGTATCTTCCTGGGCCCTAATTTGGGGAAGACCTTTATCATGGGTAAGCACAGAGGTGGTGTCCAGTCATCCCCGGTACCTGTGGGCGATGGTTTCCAGGGCCCACCATCATTCGTGGTTGCTCAAGTCCCTTCTATAAAACAGCACAGCATCGGCACATAACCAAGATGTATCCTCCGAACATTTGGCATCATCTCTAGATTACTTAGGATAACTGATGACAACATGGATGCTATGTAGATGGTCATCTACTGCATTGTTCTGGGGTCTGCATTGTTCGGGGGTCTCTATGGTACAATGCAGACCCAGTTTTTCCCTAGTATTTTCAGGCTGCAGTTGGTTGAATCTGTAGAGGTGTAACTTGTGGATATGCAGGGTTGGCTACACTTTGTTCCATGTTTCCTCAGTATTTGTCAAAAACACACTGATTTGTGGGTTCTTGTTAAACTACCTGGTAGACCAGGCTGAGTCTGAACCACGTGAAGCTCATGCTTTTTTTTAAAAAATATTATTTATTTATTTATTTATTTTTATTTGAAAGTCAGAGTTACACAGAGAAAGGAGAGGCAGAGAGAGACAGGGAGAGAGAGGTCTTCCATCCAATGGTTCACTCCCCAATTGGCCGCAATGGCTGGAGCTGTGCCAATCCGAAGCCAGGAGCCAGGAGCTTCTTCTGGGTCTCCCATGAGGGTACAGGGGCCCAAGGACTTGGACCATTTTCTACTGCTTTCCCAGGCCATAGCAGAGAGCTGGATCGGAAGTGGAGGAGCCGGGTCTTGAACCAGCACCCATATGGGATGCTGGCACTTCAGGCCAGGGTTTTAACCTGCTGTGCTACAGCGCTGGCCCCCCTTCTTTTTCTTTCAACCAACAAATATTTAGCGAGACCCGCTGTGTACCAGGTCTTGTCCTAGGTGCTACAGATGAAGCTCCGAGCCAGAGACACAAAATCCTTCATCTCTCAGGGCTCACCGTTTGGTAGGAGATATCAAATCCTTAGCTTCTGTTTTGCTATCCAAGGAAGTAAGGGAAAAGGAAGGAGAGTAGGGTTAAGTAGCAGCTCATTTCTTCATTCAGCATTTGTTGAGCGCCTATCATGTTTCCTCCATGTATTTTCTCATTTATTCCTCCCAACATTCCTATGGGGGGTAGCTCTTTCCTCTATTTTACAGATAAGAAGAATGAGGTCACTTTGCTGGTGAGTGGTCAAACCTCAGCTCTTTTTTTTTTTTTGACAGGCAGAGTTAGACAGTGAGAGAGAGAGAGAGACAGAGAGAAATGTCTTCCTTTTTCTGTTGATTCACCCCCCAAGTGGCCGCTACGGCCAGTACATTGCACCGATCCGAAGCCAGAAGCCAGGTGCTTCCTCCTGGTCTCCCATACAGGTGCAGGGCCCAAGGACCTGGGCCATCCTCCACTGCACTCCTGGGCCACAGCAGAGAGCTGGATTGGAAGAGGAGCAACCAGGACAGAATCTGGTGCCCCGACCGGGACTAGAACCTGGTGTGCCGGCGCCGCAGGCGGAGGATTAGCCTAGTGAGCTGCGGTGCCAGCCAAACCTCAGCTCTTAACCACTGAGTTTCTCGACTCTGTCCTTTGCCCACGTTGTCTGCGCATCACTGGGGAATTCAGAGACAGTCCCCACAGCTCTGGATAACCAGCAGGGGCCCTCAGGGTGCTGTCTGAGGGGCATGTGTTTCAGAATCATCTGGGTTGAGGGGGAAACTTGCATGTGTAGCAAGGTATGCTCTGATGGTAGCAGTGATCACAGAGCTGATAAGCACTGCCTCGTGAGTAAACAGAGTCATCAGCCAGGTGGGAAACAGGAATAACTTCATTTGAGCAATGCTGTTTCACGTGGCCACCAGCAGGGGGCCTGGGGATGCTCTTAGCCAATGCAATGGGATTCGATTGTCAGTCCCTGAAGATCTGAATTGTGATAGCTTCTCTCAAGCCAGCCAGCAGCATGGGAGCTCATCTGTGGTTCCGACTCTGCTTCTCCAATCACTTAGAAGCTGTGTACTGAACACTCTCTACGCACCAGTCATCCACTTAGGTACCTGGAATAGTTAATGAACAAAACAAAAATTCTTGTCCTAGTGGAGTCAAGTCATCCATCCATCAGTCTGCCTGGCTATCTATTTATTAAGCCATCCATCCATCCATCATTACTCTATTCATTAATCTGCCCATCCGCCCATCCATCCATCTGAACTGTCACTATCCATCCATCCATCCATCTGAACTGTCACCATTCACCCATCCATCCATCCAACTCTCCCCATCCAGTCATCGACCCAATCTTTCATTAATTTAAAAACATATATACTATACTATGGGTGTGTGCTTGAGATGCAGGAATAAATAATTCAGACAATCTAGAGGGGGGAGGGAGAGAGAGAGAGAGAGAGCGAGCGCGTCGTGAACCACTCTACTAGACCAACAATGATAAATCCTGTAATAGGTGCCCCCTGGCACTTCAAAAAGTTTGTTGGAGATTGAATAAAAAGATAAGTGTACTTTGCTGTGAAGTAATTTTTATAATCACAGTTTTTTTTCATAATACTTGCTTCTCATGAACTTTTTAAAGATCCTTCATATGCATGGATTTCAAAATTTATCTGAACCCAAATAAACTAATCTTTTACTTCCATTTCCATGAACTTTATGAAGTCCCCTGGTATGTACAAGAATGCAACAATAATGGATAATATTAATGTTTACTGAGCACTTAGTATAGGACAGAAATTGTTCTATACACATGTAAGTACTCTGATTTAACCCTCATACCAATTCTGAGAGAAGGGGAGTGAGTATCAGAGAAATTAGGTAATTTCTTCCAGGTCACAGAGCTGGTGAGTGGCAGCTAGGGTGCAAATCTGGGACCAGCTGACATCAAGGCCTCTGTGCCTCACCATGCATTTCTGGTCTCACATCCCTGCAGGGATCTGACGACGACCACAGACATGTACCCAGAAAGAGCCCTTGCACCTAATTCCCTAGACTGTGGCTTGAACTACCTGGGTGGGAGGCCTGGGGATATCATGGAGGGCTTCCCCAGGGAGGGGTCTTTGAGCTGGCATCAAAGGTCTTGCAGGAAGAGTCAAGATTCTTGGGGTAAGGGCACAGCACACGTAGAGGGCTGTATGGGGTGGCGACAGCAGAGGAACCAGGGGCACAGTGGGAATACAGCTGAGCAGGGCGACAAGGAGCAAGACCACGGGGAGCCTTGATGCCAATCCCAGACCCTGGACTGTCTTCAGTGGTCACTCCGACACTTTAGAAAGAGCAATCTCTTAGCTTGAAGACCTCAGAGCAGTGTATGGTGGCCCTGTGGCATTCCGTGTAGAGGACACATGTGCCAGATGTGTCTGCAGCTGGGCCAGGATGACAAATAGCCAGCAGCAGCCCCCAGGGGGTGGGCGGAGTCGGGGGCACTCCAGGCCAGAGCACAGCTCTGGAACTGAACATGCCTCTTCTGCCCGCCAGCCGCGTGGCTGGGGGCAGGGGCAAGACCCCTCTTCTCACCAAGGCTCGGGTTTCTCACCTGTAAAGACGGGCTAAGGGCCTAGACGTCCCTGCCAGAAAAAAAAAAAAATACTGAACGAGAAATTGCAGGAAGATGGCTGGTGCATAGGACGTACTCCAGGAATGGCCTGGCCCACGTGAGTGGACTTCCACTCCGTTTGCCACATCAGCACACTGCTGTCAAGGTCACAGCCACGGTCTCGGCTGTCGCGTCCCCTGTGTCTTTCTGCCTCTCTGCGGGTGTTTCTGGGCCCACGCGGCTTTTCTGGTTGCTGTTTTATCCTCGCGTTCTGAGATCTCAGTGGCGTCTTTTCTCTAAGTGGTTAAGTGGTGCCAAGTGGGCTTGTGGGTGATAACAAGCATGCTAGGAGCAGGCAGGGAACAGAAAGAGACTGGCATTGGCGGTGTGCGAGATGCAGGGGCCCAGTGAGGGGTGGGACTGCCCCACCTCCACCTTGGGAGCGCCTGCTCCCCCTGGGGAGGGAAGTGCTGGCGTGAGCCACCCCCACCATCCCGCCAGCACCGGGAGGGAGAGCACTCAGGAATCTGAGCTCCACTCCCCGGGTGGGTGGAGTGGCGTCTGCACCTCACTGCTTTATCACCAGTGCCCTGCACGCAGTAGATGCCCCGCCCACCGTCGGCAACACTAGTGCAGTAAGCAAGTGAAGAGGCGGGTGCCTGGCCGCCCCCACAGCTTCAACCTGCAGCCATGGCTTCACGCCATGTGCTAACACACTCAGGTGACAGTGATGGGGTCCTGTAAATTCACAGCCTCGTAGAGGTAGCATCTCGCTTTGCTCAGTGCTGGGTGGCTCTGCGGTTTCCCTCACTGATCCATAGCTCCCTGTCCTCAAAGGAACTCCACAGGCACTGCACCTCCCACTCTGCCAGTCATTTGTGCCTCTCCAAATCTCCACCTCTTATCCATATTCTCTCTCTCTCTCTGTCTCTGCCCCCTACCCACATACATCGAGGAAAAAAAGCTGCCAGGGGCTGAGCACCTACTGTATGCCAGACTCCGAGCTGCAAGGTTTTGCAAACTCACTCACACATCCACCTCCCTCCTGGTGACCTGCGAGGTGGGTGTAATGGTCCTTTCCAATCCACAGATCTACAACCTTGGGTAGGGGTGATGGGCCTGGAGCAAACCCCTTCCCCTCTCCGTGTGCCCTTGCTCAGCAGGTGTTGGGGCTCACGATCGCACTGACACCTTCTCCAGGCATTCACTGCCCCCCTCTGGGCTGCAGCTTCCCCTCCACAAAGCACGTC